TTAGGGTTTAGGGAAAGAAGCGCGACCGTGTCTTCAAGATTTCTGGGGTGCCCCGACGGCCGGTTCGTTCAGGCCCTCTACATCAGAACCCCTATGCAAAATCACGCCTGTAAGAACCCCTTGTGTAACTAACACAGCCGGAAGCGGACGTAGGGGCTTCTGGAATTAGAGCCTTTTGGGCTCTTGGACCGTGATGTGTCTAATTTTTCCGGATGTAGGATGATTGTCAGATTATCCCGCAGTATTTAGGTATTTAGGCCCTAGGTAGTAACAATACGGCCCTTATAACACGGTCCACCAAGTAAGATATCCCTTTTCGGTTGCAGAAAACCTTCATATAAACCCCACAACACAAAAACAATCCGAATTGTAATCCCTACCTCCTAGTAATACTTCTAGCAACCCTTATAATGACCTCCTACGGTAGTATATACCCCAAATGTAGAGAACTTCCAAAGACCCTGTCTCTAAGCCAGGTCGCAGGGACAGCTCAGGTGGCCCTGTATACTCTTTAATGTAGTATGGGAACCCTAAGCCCTAAACCCCTAAANNAAACTCCTAAACCCCAAACCCTAAATATAGCGTGGGGACCCCGAAAATCCGCAACCCAACAGGACAAACTCCCAAAACCGCAGTAGCTGAGAGACCGATGGTCTGACAGCACCGAAAGTTCTGCTCGCATCTGACTGGATTCGAGGGTATACCCATAGGCCCCATATTAGTTCCTTTTTGGGGTTCATACATAGAATGCTATAAGGTAATCCCAAAAAGGAACTACAATGGGGCCTATGGGTAGATAGTATCTGGGGCCTCAACCATCATATAGGCCTGGAGAGATCCTTTTGCATCAGGCTTTATATCGGACTAAAGGGATTTTGTATCAAGGCCTCAGTAGTTGGAAAGGATCTTGGGTATTGTGCAGTATTCATGCCGGACTAAATACATCGGTACTAACTGTCAGACCCTATAATGTAAGGTCATGTGCTGAAGAAGGGTCTAGGGTTTTACGTATCAGGATTTGGGTTCAGGGCTTCCAGAATCACTCGACTCACCCGACGCAGCCCACAGCCCGGGCCAATCGAATGGCCTGCCTTTTTTCGGCGCGCACTGACCGTCGTCGGGCAGAGAGGGTTTCCGAAATGGAGGAATCGTGTCTCAAGACAAGAAGGACCAAAGAGGAACGGTGTTTAGCGACTAGGTTTGTTGAGGTCAGCTGGGTTGAATCACCATCCTCCGGAATGGATGACGCCATCTGTGCATCCCAGGGCCACAGCGGTCGAAGCCGAACAAAGCAACAAAGCGACAGTCTTGATCTTACCTACTTACGCGCCTCTTCTTGGAGCAACAGACCGCAAATTTCCAAGAGGACACTGGGACGCCATCCGTCAGAAGCCCAGTTGCTTCTACAAAAGGTTGCTGACCCTACAGGCATCGTAAACTAGCCACTATATCACAGAGGAGCATGGCCTTCTGATCGGCGGTTGGAAAACGCTGCAGAAAGACGTCCTAAAACTCTGAACCCCCCTTGATTGACAAACTCGGGGCCTCCACATGTAAAACTGAACAGATGCGAGTTTCTCCAAAGTCAGAGCCCAACTCTTGTGGGAGATCCGCTTATGCAGCTGTTGATGAGGGCTGCACGTCGTGTCAGAGGCTTCTAAGGTGAACAGCTTAGCTGGTTAAGGCTTTGCTTGAATTATCAAGGCATGAGCCCGTCGTAAGGCCATACATAATGCGAAGACTGTAAAAGAGACCTAAGGTTACCCTAAACCCTAACCCCTACACTCCCTAAACCCTGAACCCTAAACTCCCACCCTAAGCCTGAAGCCCTGTTCTAGAGAAGCGGTCCAAGAGCTGCACAGATTCTGAATGCATCATGTTTGAATTGACAATCTTGTAGGAAAACTAATCGTAATTAAAATGAGAAAATAGTAATAACCGCCATAATGTAATAGAGTCAGATCTCCATTTCGGGCCACTTTGCGAGAAGCTCGAACGCCGAGTTTCGGCGAGTCGCAACGGTTTTGGCACGGTAGGAGCATCTGAGGAACCGTCCTAAGGAATCTTCCTCCCTCGGGCTCCTTCTTACGATTCTCGCCCCAAAAAGTTCTAGGTACTGTTATGGGGGATACTTTCCCAAAGCATAATACAGACTCCGAAAATAGCAACCCTGCATTCTACTATATAGCAGCTTTGGCCCCATTGGGTCGCATAATATATATATATATATATATATATATATATGTTCATATTCGAGGGGTCGGCATACGTAGTGCTGGTCCTGAACCCTCATCCCTGGAGCCTAAAACCTAACGCAAGGCCTAACTCGTCTTCGGGTTTAAGGCATCTAGTGCTGGGGTCTCCCAGCTTCGTGGCTAAGGGTTGACGCTCTAAGGGCTTAGGGCTTATGGGGCTTAGGGTGTAGGCTTCAGGGGATGAGGATTTAGTTAGGGGGTTCGGATTTGGGGATTTCAAGCCTATGAAGTCGATTTCGGGAATGCGGCTTAGGGCAAAGAGCATCAACTATTGTGCTCGGTCTTGTTGGGGTCAAGGGCTTCGGGTTGAAACTTTGAACCTCATAAGCTGCAAGCGATTTCTAAGTTCTTCAACCCTATGAAATGCCTTATGCTGCTCCCAGGGCGGTCTGATCCTCAGAGAGTGAACCTGTCCTCGCCGGCGTCGTTAGTGGCCACGAGGCTCTGACAAGCTCCCAAAATCGCATTGATCTTGTGCTCCTGAGCTGGAACCCAAAGAGCAGAACAAGGCCCCTGGGTTTAGGGTTTAGGGAGTAGGCAGGAGAGTAGCCTGCACGTCAGCAAGATTCCCTAAAATTGATACAATCCATAGAATTTCTGATTATGGAGCTAGAGAAAATCCTTTTGGCTGAGGGCTGGGCGGGCTTTCCGGGAAGCTCACTGACTGAAGCCATGTTGATGCAACGATTAAACGTTGATTTGTTTTTGTTTCTTACATATCTGTATATGTTATGTATGTGTATGTACATGTGTATCTATATGAATGTGTGTATACGTACATATATGTATGTGTGTACATATCTATATATGTATATAATATTTATATATTAACAAATGTATACACATACATAGATATATGGTGTCGTAAACAATCGGATTACAAGGCCAACAACTTCCACCACAATCCTCACGCATGTAGGTAGGGCCTAGGGCATGTGCATGTCCAGATCCGAGTGCAGCAAGCCTTTCTACTGACAACAGGGCTTCTGAACCCCTAAACCCTAAACCGTACACCCTAAACCTCATAGCCGGCAAACCCCTAGACTTCCGAAGCCCGAAAAAGCAATGACCCTAACCCTGGACTCTCAAAGCCCTCAAACTGGAGCATACCATTGTAGTACCTTTTTTGACGACCTTAGTTTCTTATTATACGGTCTTAACCACAAAAGAATAAGTCATCCAATAAAGGGTACTACATGCAAGGGTCTAGGTAATCCCTCAAATCCCTTCATCCCGAAAGGCGGGGAAGCAGCAACACTCGGAGATTACTGGCACACGTCCGTTTTCCCACCTTGCCAACTCTCACAAGCCAAAGAAAAAGGTAGAAACACCTGTCCCATTTAGTGCTATCGTTGTTATACTTCATATCATTACCCAATTTGCAACTAGTATTATTATTAGGTAAGGTTTCGTTCTTTAAGGCTTTAGAAGTGTTGGTTCTTGGTGGCCGGATCAACTTGAGCTCTTGGGTGGTATCGATTTGGGGGGGATCTGCTCATGGAGGAAGAGCTCGACGATGATGGCGAGGGCTCTGATTCAGGGGTGGTTGCTGCTGATGATGGTGCTGGTGATGATGATAATGATGATGATGGCCATGAACTGACCTATGACTAGATGCAAAGAGGCGGATGAGGATGAATGCCAGATGACTGTCGTGGCCATGACAGCTATGATGCTGATGAGGGTAAAGATGACGATGCCGCGAGGATGATGATACTGATGGTGATGATGATGGTGGTAATTGCGGTTTTGACAGCTGTGATGCCGAACAGGATGATGATGACAACGGTGAGGACGGGGATGCCAATGATACCGGGGACATTAATATTGAGGATAATCAGGATGCTGCACTAGAGACTAGGATGATAAGCTGGATGTGGTGATGGTCATGGGTCACGATGCACATGGCACGGGTAATAGTGATGAACAAACAGCGTGGCTGAGAAACAACGCCTAGATACTAATATTTACCTACCCAAAAAATATGGATACGAGTATGGCTCATGCCAATCAACATCACAAAAAATGAAGTAACGTTCATCTCAGTAAGACAATGAAGAAAGCGGCAACGATGACTAGCAGTTGCTACAGTACACAGGGCCATGATGATGAGACACGTGGGGATACCCAAACGGTAGCGAAGTTCAGCATGTGATGCTGTTAAGGTGTGAGCTCTGCCGTGTTGCTGCTGCAGAAGCTGCCTTTCGTCTTTTTTTCTGGCGGTGTTGTTAAAACCATCACTGCCGGCCACTGTTGCTGCTGTCGTTCTTGCTTGTACCGAGACTCATGAACAACCTCTTGCGGTATTAAACGGATGTCCAAACTGAATCTAGCTCATCTGCGCCTGAAAGTCTTACAGCGCCCCAAACCCTAAAAGCCTATAACCCTAAACCCTAAAACCCTAAACCCGAAGCCCTACACCAAAAAGCCCTAAACCCAATCCCCTATACCCTAAACCCCAAAACCCTAAACCCAAAAGCCCTAAACCCAAAAACCCTAAAGAACCTAAACCCAATGCCCTAAACCCTAAACCCCAAAACCCTTAACCCCAAGACCTAAACCCTAAGCCCACAAACCCTAAACCCAATGCCCTAACCCCTCAACCCAGAAACTCCAAAACCCTAAACCCAAAAACC